TTTTTATTCCTCCTTCTCTCATTTTCTTTCATGTGTCTTTGGCTTTCTTCTTCCCCCGATCCCCGCTGATATCAGACGGGCTTGACGCTCGGATGGAGAGAACGATGGGGGGAGATGCACAAGTGCAGCTCTGCCCTAAATAAACCGCAATTGAGAAAGTGACTTGAACACAGAAGAGAAGTTCAGCTCCATCTCCTCCCTTCCCCTCCTCTTCTTTCTCCTCCTCCTCCCTGCCTTTTTATATGTCCGATAGACAAATTGGATTAGCAGCTATTGGATTAAATGACAAAATGGTGGGATAAGGACTGAGATGAACATGCTGTGATCACAGCTTTTAATGTGTTTCTCTTTCTGTCGCATTCATTTTCCTCGGTTATCCAAGCTGCTTCCTTCAAGGCACAGAAGTTTCTCCAGGGAAGAACAAATGCAGGACACCCTGCTCATCCACTTACTGCAATTTATATGAATTAGAATGAACATCTCATGTGCAAATACTGCACATGTTGCTGTTTGAAGCCATTGATCACAATAATGAAACAGAAAATACATTTTTCTCTTTCACAATAATCAAAGAGAAAAAATTATTTTAAGTATTAGTTGCTGAGAGCAGTTAACATTAGCAGCCCTCTTTTCTTACAGATTAACTTCATAATTAAATTTGTAATTTGTTGCAAAGATTCTTTTATGTTGTGACTTCTGCTTTCTCCACAGTGGTGGCTAAACTAAACAACTGACATCGTTGCAATCTCAGGAAAATAAAGAGCAGCCCCATACATCTGCATACATTCCTTTTTTCAGCATTTTCATTGTGACTAATCTTTTTGTCGCTCTGTAGTCCTAGGGTTAACATCGATCACTGGTTTGAGAGGGAGACGCAAATCCCCGAAGCATCCAAGTAGATCCGTCAAATAAGGGAGCAGCTAAAAGAAGCTAAACTACACACAGATAATTTAAAGCTAAAGTTATCAGTAATTGCAGGTTTAGTGCAGCTTCTGGTTTGATGTTTTAGTCACCAATTAAAAATACAGTGAAGCCAGTTAAAGTCAATTAACGTGTACTCACTAAGACTAATGCTAAAGCATGAATTTTGTACATTTAGCACATGGCAGCATGGCGCTCTTAATTCAAAGCAGCTCAGGCCAACAGCAGCAGCAGTTTGACCACCTCGGGGTGAGTTTCATTATTCCTATCAACACTGAATGGAACATTGGCCAAGATTGCTATCTTAATCTTATTTGGCTATAGAGGCTGCCTTTGTACCCCCCCTTTTTTTTTTTCCCCATTTCTTTCTGCATTTCTCTCTCACCATCTCTCATATGGATGCTCCCAAACACACAGTGACCTATGCTAACCAGCCTTGTCTTCATGCCTCGAGGATAACAGCCTCCCTCCACACACGGCAGTTTGTGTCATTGTATCCTGGTTGCGTTTCTGCGAGAAGCCGGGAGTGGAACAAGAGAAGAGGAAGACAGGCAATCAGATAGAGGGGTTGTTGGGATATGTCTATCAGTTGTATCTCAGCTCTGTGTGTGTGAGTTGATTGTATCTTGTGTGTTTCTCACCAGCACAGCTGCATTGATAGCTGAGGTAACACTAAGGATGATATTAATGGCGATAAACCTTGTGCATTTTCATCACTAACCCTTTGATGTCCCCATCACACACTGTACCAACGCCAAATTCATTGCTTCAGTCTCACTGGAGTTGGCCTGTTTCTGCTCTGCCCTGCTCTGTGTTGAGCACTAAGAAGTGGCGTGTAAGGCGAGCAGCAAGACCCAGAATGCACCCTGCCAAACTGCCAGATGCTTTGATCCAAGATGGCCCCCTGAGAGCCAGCATGCATCCACAGTGTCTCAGAGCCAAGGCTGGATTCGCAGACACAGTGTCAGTGGTGACTGCCAAGGATATTTACACCATTTGTTTTCATACACCACCACATTCAGCAGTCTGTTGTCACTATAAGCATATGGCTTTCTATGGAGCAAAGATGTTTTTAGAATGTGCTGCACCAGTGGGAATCAAACCCCCAACCCAGCACTAGAGCCTTAATTATCATGAAACTGAAACGACCATCACTTTTACGTTTAAGATGACGGTATCGCGTACAGTTGTCTTGTTAATTCAGTCGTATCGAGTAGTCAAGCTAGTAGAAAACTATTTAAATAATCTGAATACTTTTCAATAATTCATTAAATGCAATTGGCCTGTAAAATTACAATGTAGTTATATAACTTTTTATTTTTTAAAGGCTCTTCCCCCAACAGCTCAAAAACTATAATTAAAGGTATAGTAAAACATAATTTCCCGTGCTTAATTGATTAAAAAGGGGTTTAGCACCCACCTATAACAATAAATCTGCGCCCAGTCTGTCTCTTTAAGAGTCAGGTAGGATCTAGAGGTCGGAGGTGGATGCTGAGCAGCTGTCGAGTCTCCTGCCTCCATCCCTCCATCCCCTGACTCACCTGCTCGCCTTTATTTCCTCCTCCACTCCCTCCCTCGTTCCAGTCATCCCATTTTGCTTTCACATTCAATATCCCCCCCTCATCTCTCCCTTTTCTCCTTCCTTCTACCCTTTTCTCCTCCCTCTTCTACCACCTTTTCCTCTGACCTCCCTGCCTTCCTCTCCCCTCGCCTCCCCTCCCTCCTTTCATAAAATGTGGCTGTTGGTTGGCTGGTAGCAGCTGGCTGGCTAGCGGTGGGGGATATAGCTTTATAATCCCCTCTCGTCTTCCAGCCCGCCTCGCCACAATGTCACAGGAGCTTAATATTTGCCATTATTATTTGCTTGTTTTATTTGACTTCGAGGCAGCACAATGACCTGTCAGCGCCGGCTTTATCCCCCCTCCGAGTGTCGTCCATTTCAAAGTTGACTACAGTAATCCACGAGCCCGTGATTCCGCTAAATCCTGAAGCTTTCTTTCATTCGCTTGGTTTTTTTGGGGGGGGGTTTTGCTTGCTTTCTTTCATTTTCCCTTCCCGCTCCCTCCTCCTAAATGAAATTACATACATCTGCTGGCTCAGAGTATCACAAATGTCCACACACATCCACGCGTTTGCCTTTTGTCATCAGTGACGCAGTGGCCCGATGCTCCCACGGCTGCAATGAACATTGGTGTGTGTGTGTGTGTGTGTGTGTGTGTGTGTTTGATGGAAAAATTCCTTTCTTTCTTATTTTCTTGTCTCCTAAGAAGCAAAGTTATTTATTTACAGCTTCTCATCAAATAAATGATACAGTGGTTACAGCTACAATACTCAGACAATAAATGTTGGAAATCTTCTTAAAACCGTTGCTGCATTTACCACAGTGAATGGAAGGATTCATATCACCGCTGCAGAGTTAAACGGGACCTTATGGATTATCGCCGCTGACACTGTTCAGCTGACTTCGAGATTCGATAAAGAATAAATAGCATTTTAATTTATAACACGTGAAAGATTATTAAAACAAACCAAGCAGAAAGAGATGCTTACTAGTATTATTTTATGGAAATCTAGTTTTAATTTTATTGATTATCCATTCCTTAAAAAAAAGTAGTCATAACATTTAAAGATTTACCTTTAAAGTAATAGTCTTTTTTACTCACAAATAAATTGTGAATTTGTAGAATTATAGTAAATAATTATTTTACTGGTAGCATTTTGCATCTTTATTATGTGTTTATTAATCATCACTGCTGAGACTGTTGTTATTTTTGTTCCTGCTCAGTGAGGCCATCCTGATTCCCAGGGTGTCAAATACTGCAGTTTAATCAAAGCCTCTGGATCCTGAGAGACACGCCTGAGGTGTCTTTTCACTTTGGTTTGGTGTAAAACCTTACAGTGTAATCATCACAGGATGAAAATTGGAGCAAAAGCCTGGGATTAAACAGACCTACATGAATTTACAGCATAAATACACCTGCTCATTATCTTTGCCACACCTGGTCCGAAATAGCCCCACTTAGTTACCTGAAGATGCACTAAACAGTATCTAGAAAGTTTTATAAATAGGTTCCAAATTTACAGTAACCATCCAGCTAATGTTCAGACTATTATCCTGTTTCCAAATTTAATTCATTCCAGAAATATTAAATAACTTTTCGTGCATGTTTTTGGGCCGTACCTGAAAATCCTGTTGATCAACCCTTCCTCTGTAAGCATTTAACACCTGAGAGCTTCAATGAGCATTTAGTTATCATTTGTCAGTTTCTGGTTTGAGCGTCATCACAGGTTCCAGTATGTTTAAAACCTTACGATTATGTGGTTTTAGTACACAGAGGCCAGCAGATGCACAGTGGGAGTCAAACTCCACACCCAGGCAGCTGGTCTTTATTCCAGGTCAAACACGATGGAGGCTGTCACTGTTACCTGGCTAACATTTGAAGCTTTCGATTCGACGTGCTTTGTCTGTATCAGTTGTGCGCATCCCATTGTACCTTGTAAGTAAGTTACAGCATAGAGCTTTAGCCCCAGGCGTGGGCAAAGCTTACATTAGCCATGCATCTGAGCCTCACTAGCTCTCTGTGTGTGTTGAGCAGGTATTACACTAAGCAGTAGAGAGTCCCAGAGACTTTTTTTTTTTTTTTTGAAGGCCTGCTGAGTGATTGGTGGGATATGTATTGCCCTACAGTGAGAGGCTTCACTCTGTAAAGGCGCTCGACGGTAATCGCAGAGTTAATCCCGCCCCGGTTGAAGCCGTATTGACGTTGTGAAGGCATGGTGTGAAGTAGGTGAATGTTTACACAGGGAACATAAGCGAGGAGAGTATTTACACCCACACATGAATATCTGGTGGACACACTGACTCTGCGGGGGCAGCAGCTCCGTCGTTTATCTGCCTCATCGCTTTTCATGTGCATATGCTGGTGTACACGGCGTGCTGTAATTTTTATGTCAGGTTCAATCCACTGTAAAAAAAAAAAAAAACAAAAGCAAAAGAGCAACGTGTTATTCTTGAAACATTTCCTGTAACGTGTGTATCTGCTGGTTTATTTATTGGTGTGTTTCTGTGCTCTTTCTAGGCAACAACAAGGAGGAGGAGGAGGCCATGATGCAGGAGTGGTTCATGCTGGTCAACAAGAAGAACGCCCTCATCAGGAGACAGAACCAGCTCTCTCTGCTGTGCGTACTGTTCTTCCTCTCTGTCGCCTCGTCTTTGCTTCCATTTTAATTTCTCACATGTCAAATTAAAGCAGCTGAGAAGCGTTTTAAACCTGCTCCTCGAGCTTTAGATCAAGCTCGTCTAAGCTGCACGGGGCAGGAGTGTCCTCTCCACTCCATTCACCCCATCTCTGTCTATCCACTCATTGATTTACATGCAGAAAGGGATATAAAATCAATAGAAATGTGGCGATCGCTACTCTATCTGCAGTCTCTTTGTATGTGGTCAGCTGCGACAGGTGGAGACACGCGCTGCCTTTTTTTCCTCATTTGCGGCTGTAGGGATTTCAAAGTGTGCAAGTGGAGGAGAGCCTGAAGTATTCATAATCACATTATATCGTGGGAAAGGAGAGGCTTTTAAAGTGGCCAATTGACAGAAGGGCTGATTATTAGCCCTTTCTGTTCTCTCTTTGTGGAGGCAAAGAGAAAACGGCGCCTGTGAAGGACAAATTCTATTAGGGGCCGAATTAGCTCATTTTTTAATATGGCTGAAAGAGGAAAGAATTCAATTTGTGCTGCGGGTGGCAGATAGATCCACACAGGGCCACGCTTGCATATACACATCTACTCCCTCATCTTCTGTTTTTAATGCATTTTCACCCCCACCCCCCAAACTCCGCTCCTTATTTCCCTTTTTCTATCCTTACACATACACACACAGACACACACCTTCACCCAGGGCTGTGCACTATGAGTATCAGTTATGTGCAGTAGATTAATGCGAAGCCAGAGAAGGTTCGGGCGAGTGGCCGAATCGATGTTTATTGCAGGTTTCTTTAAGTACTTAATGATTTAGTCATTAACATATTGATGAACTTTGTGTGTGTGTGTGTGTTTCCCTTCTCCCCTCTTTCTAACTTGCCACAGGGAGAAAGAGCACGATCTGGAGAGGCGTTTCGAACTGCTGAACAGAGAGCTGAGAGCCATGCTGGCCATCGAGGGTAAGACACACACACATGCAGAGGGAGGCTGCACACGCGTACATTAAACTCTTAATTTTGTAACTTTAGATGCATTTTAAACAGCAGTTTTCACAGCTGAGGAGATTATGTAACAAGTAAAGTAAAACAACCAGGAGCTCACTTTACTCTCTCTTTCCTAAATCTTCCTGAAATTTACCAGAACATCTGCATAGTTTAATTACTTCCCAAATGAGTCCTGCAGGAGACCGGCAGCAATAGTTGAAGTTCATTTTCCATTTCGTAGTGAGGAGGGTAAAATCGACTGTCGAGGTCGCTTGAGTTCGAGTAAAGTGGTTGGTGTCTCTTCTTCTGAGTCCTTTCTACGTGGCGTCCGCCCGTTAGCGGGGGCCAGCCTTCATCGGGAGCCTGAAGCAGGGTGATTTGAATTCTGCTTCGGCTTGATGAGGATTAAGATGCGAGCTTGCGAGGGATTTCACTCCCAGATACTTGATCAATGCTATCTGTTTCTCAGCCAGACCCGACTAGCCGATGCCTGATGTGGAATCTGACCACAGCTGCATTCAGTGTTTGCAATGTTAAAAAAAGAAAAGAAAGAAATGCAGTTATATTGTTGAAAGCTTGTTAACTACACCGCAGCCAGAAAAGCAGCCATTGTGTCGTATCAAAGTTGTCAGAGGGCCATGGAAGTTTAATCCCCTTCGACTGCGTCCTCTTTGGCAAAATGAACCTTTCGCCAATCAATGCTAATTGATTTTGCCATTCGACATTGACCAGCACCACCCCCTTCTCACAAACCACCCCCTTTCTCCTCGCGGCCTTCGGACACCCATTGTAATTTCACCGGGCACCTGATAAGCTACCTGGTCCATAATAAATCAATTCTAATTAGCAAAAGAGGAGATGGTGGGGGGGGCAGACACGCGTATCCAAAGCGGCGCTGCAGCCGGCACCACGCTGCCTGCGTTCAGCTTGATTTCCTCCCTCTCTCCAGCCGCTTTATTTATTTTTATTTATCGAGCTCCTGCTGGAGTCGAATGGGAGGATTTCGCTTTTTCTGCTTCACATAACGGAGTGTGTGTTTGTATCAGCGAGCCTGCTTTAAGCACGCGTGTGCGTGCATTGTTTTGAGCCGTGTTTTTGTCTTTGTCTCGTGTGTGTGTTGTGGATTCATATGGCTTGCGCGCATGTGGATGTGAGAGCAGAGATAGTGTGTGACTCGAGGTGGAGAGGTGGTGTGTGTCGTGTCACCGCCGTCCTCTCTGCCTTCATGTGGACTTGTTGGATTTGCAGCTGACTAACTTATCAGCGGCCTTATTTTCCTCCCTCAGGGAGGCACTTAACATTCAGAGGCTCTGCCTTTCTCTCGCAGCCACAGATAGTTGTCAGCTGCTGGGAAGAAAGGTGTGTGTGTGTGTGTATGTTGGTCTCCATTTGCCTGCGTCTGTGAGTTTACATCTCACAGGTGTGTTTCCACCTTTGGTTTTGTGTGTGTGTGTGTGTGTGTGTGCGTGCGTCTCCCCAGCTCTTATTTGGTGCTTGGGCAGGTCCATTGAGCGATGGTTGGGCGTGCGAATAATTGCTGATTTGGTTGGCCAGTCGATGACACAGAGAGAGAGAGATGACTCAGAGCGAGAGAAGAAACACACCTGCCCTCACACACACGCCCTGCTGAGAAAAATATATACCTGCACTGAATCAAACGCACCTCTCCCTCTCAGCTGACACACGTGCTGAATCACACACACATTGTCAGGTCAGTGTGAAGACCTCAAGTTTCTGTCTTCGTCTTTTTGTGTGAAAAGATGTTAAATATCTGCTGATTTACCGTCCAGCTGCGGCAGATGTGGGTAATATTTGTAAGCAGTTATAGAGAAAGGAAAATCCTGTGAGTAGACTCTGCAGTGATGTAGACATTTAAGGGTTTGATGAAAGTTAAAGGCAGGAGATTATAAGTTAAGCCGCTCGGCCTCCTCTGTTCTGAGGCAAAGGTTTGACTCGTGATGTTTTATTCCACGTTTGTGAGGCTGACGTAAGCTTACTGGGACAGTCGGGTACAAGAGGACAAGGAGGAGGGGAGGAAGAAAAGAAAGAGGGGAAGCTTTGAGGGGGAGAAGACGATTCATCTGAAATCAACTTTGAAGCCGATATTCTGCAAAAGGACAAATTCTTCTCAACTTTTCTCAGATTTTTGTTTGTTTGAGTTAGAAGATCTTAACGGAGCAGTGATTCCTGATGTAGTCAAAAGGCACAATGTAGAAACATTAAAGTCACACAAAGGGGGAGAGAGAGAGGGGAGGAAGGGAGGGGCTAGTTTGCAGGGCTACAGCTGCAGGATTCACTACAGTGCCAGGTATTTTTCCTGCACTTTGGATCTCAGCACATATTAACTGATAAATACAGAACAACTAATGGTCTAGTGCGACCCTAAGCAATGCTTTGTCTAACTGAATAAAGAAAGAACTGTATATTTAGATGATTTCATATCAGCACACAGCAGTGCAGTATTTTACACATTAGTGCATCACAAACCTTTAAAAAAAACAATAGATCAGCACAATAATCGCAATACATGTAAAATTTAAGATGTTAGAGTGAATTAACAATGTCGTCACTGTACGTCTGTTGTTTTTGTTTAAATTGAATGTGTCATCTGTACATGAGGAATATTCAGAATACATTTTTACAAAAGCACTCAAACATAATTTGGTAACTGATGCTGACTCATCTTTGGACATCAAGTGTCTGCCTCGAGGCCTCTGCAGCAGTAAATCTACTCTAGGTCTGTTAACCATGATTCACTGCGTAAAATCACAACGCAGCGATCACAAGTGGAAAATTATAATCAAACCAAAGCCAGTATTCTTAACAAAACACTCCTATAGGTAATAAATAAATCCACGTAGTTGCATTTCCCTACCACAGCACTGGGCCAATCCCTGTAGTAAAATATGAAAAGTTGTAAGGAACGATTTTCATGATTAAAAATATCCCAACAACACCTATAAATGACCCCAGTCTGACACGTGAAGGTTAACAGCACAGAGGTCTTGACTTGAGGTGGGCCTTTGCATCATTAAAGCATCCAAACATCAGTCGGTGTAAGATAAAAATGCTCCGTAACTGAAGTTTAAAGCAGCTTGACATTAAAACGGTGTTCAAGGTTTGATTAAATGTGCAGAATAAAACGGTCAGGATCAGGGCCGAGGCTTCCAGGCCCCTGTTGATGTCGTTTATGAGCATGCTCAGTGATAACCACCTCCTTGTATCGTCTTGGTGTGATGCCAGGCGGGGAAATGCCATCTGTATGCCATGCTCTCATCTCCCTGCCACAAAAATTGATCCACTATGCCCTCTTTATCTGCTTACCGATTCACACCTATGTACGCACACACGGAGCGGCGTCTTGGCTTCCTTCGAGGGCCCGTGTGTGTGTGTGTGTGTGTGTTTTTAAAGTGGACGCCCTCTCGCCATCTAAAAGGGATTTATGCATAGCTGGGTCCCAGAGTTGTTTTTTTTTCTTCTTCTCTCCCCTTGTTACGGTTTGATATGATAAGCTTTTTTATATGTTTAAAATCAATATGTAATCCTATGCAGGAGCTTATCCCTCTCCACACCCCCGACACACACACACACACACCCACAGCCCATTTGTAAATCTATTTGGGCTTTGTAACACATCGGGACAGCGCACTACAGACCCTGATTGATTAGGTGCACTTTGGAATCCGATCACATGGGCAACTTTTGATGATGTCGCCAACTCTTTCAGGCTTGCACACTGACTGAAGAGGCCGATAGCAACAGGCTTCGTTCCACGCGTCGCCGGGCTCGAGTTTTGGCGAATTCAGAAGACCAGTGTGTTTAATTATCTATTCACAGCTCGGGTGTTTGTGTAGGTTGAAGTGCGTCCACGCTTGAAGTTTAATATTCGCATCGTCTCCAGCTGTTTTAACTTGGTGTTTATGTCGAGGACAGGTGCCACCTGTAGTGAAGCTAACGTGGTATTACATGCTGCTAATCGTCACATGAGGCTGAACAGATGCTGAAAATGTTCACATTCATGCCTGGAAAGAAATTACAGCTTTTTAAGAGATGTAAAATCTTTCCTGTGGTTCAGCCTGCTTCACACAGGTGGAAAACCACTTGATTGTTGTATCTACCGTGATGTTCTCAGTCTTCTGCTGGACACGTAGACCAGAAAACTACAATTCTGAATGTTTTTAAGGCAAACAGACACAATGAAGCTAAGCCAAACTTTCTCACCTGATACTCATCCAGAGGCTAAAGGCAGTAAATCCTGTAAATTGGTAGCTGCCGTCAGCATGTTAAATAGTTTATGAGCCATCAAAGTTATAAAAGTTCAAGTTGTGTTTAAATGTGTTAAGGGCAGGTTTGTCCTCTTGTAGATAAATTTACCTCCTTGCATGTTGCATGAGGCAGGAAACACCGCTTCACAAAGGTTTGCACTACTAGAAATATTCAGCGTGTTTTAGGTGGTAGAGCACACCTGACATACACTCATGGAATTAAGGACAATATTAGCTACTGTGTCCACACGTCTGAACAAAAAAGCATCACACAAACTTTGGGAACCTGGGTAAAGTCTGGAAAGGTTCAGGGGTGGAGTGCATGTGTGGAAAATGGCTTCAGAAGCTAACAAGAAAGGCCCTCCCCCATTCATACTGCCTTTCCTGAGAGAAAAGGTGGACTGGTACTCTTTTACACGCAGCTTCCCTAAACGTCAGGTCCCTACAGGAGTAAATCACATAGATGGGCAGATTAAGTCACATGCAGTTATGCAGGCATCTCTTGGCCAAGTAGAGGATGAACTGCTCTGAAACTGCAATATAAACTTTTTTCCTTTATATTCGAACCTCAATAAAAGCAATCTTAGTAATTTAGAGAGAACTTTTCTCTTGCAATTTTTAACCTTTGTGTTTGTTGCTTTTTAGCTGTTTTTTAATTATCAGTCCCCTTCCCCCCCTTCTCTCTCTGATGACACTTGGATTTCAGCCGAAATCAGCTCTCAGGGCCTAAAGAGGACGAGGGGGGGGTAAAAAAGCAAAGAAATGAAGGTGAATAAATTTTATTTTGGTGTCCGTGTCCAAAAAAGCTGCGATTGAAACCCTCCGATGTGATGTCGCCGTATTTTGGTATAAAACAGAAAAAGAGGCAGCCAGATGGACTCGGATGCATGAAGGGCGGCCTCGTCCCGCTTTGAGAGAACGAGGCTTTGGACCGGTTTGCTCTCTTGAATAAATTTAGCGTTGGGGATAGCGAGCAGGGAGAGAAGAGGGGGGTGTTCATGGGGATTTGAACCAGCGCATTCTTGTGTGCCTTGTGCAGATTCACATGGTTACCACTGGCGTGCACGGTGAGAGTTATCTGAATACGCACCCACCGTGTGAGTTGTACACACTCCTAAGTCTTTAACCTCCCTCTCCCACTCTCTTATGGAGGGGGGCGTGGCTTACATGGGGGGGGGGGGGGGGTCTGAGTGGCTGCAGGCTGTTTTGTTTGTTCCTGCATCTCTGGTTACCCAGCCTGCCCCGCTCTGGTGTTGCCTGGTCACGTCGCTCATCGGCTCTTTTTATTGTTTACCTTCCTAATGAGGGGGGCGGGACTCTGAGACATGTGATTGACAGCAGTGAGCTCACTCATGGGTCCCCTTCCCCTCCCATGCACACCCCGGGTCCAGCAGGTCTTTGGCTTTTTGGCTGAGAAATCCTTTGAAGGAGATTAAAAAATAAAAAATAAAAACCACCTCGTTCGTCGTGAACCCTCCTCTTCTGAGAGAGGATTGTGGGAGATTTATGGCATACATTCCTGTCTCAGTTATCTAAAGCTGATGACTCACCCAATATTCCCCACACTTTGTTCTGATTCTTCCTAAAGAACCACATGTTTAAAAATAAATAAATAAAAGGAGCAACAAATCCTCGAGGTGCAGATTCAGACATATTTTGAAGTATTTGTTAACTCCTGAACAAAAACCAGAAGAGAGTAAATTTGCTTCCCTGAGAGAGAGAAAAATAACGAGGGGGGGCTAGAGAGCCAAATATTGGGACTGTGTTCATTTCGCTCTGTGGTCGACTTCAAAGGGACGAGCGGGGCCAATGAAGAGAGCGCAGACCTTTCAGGACAAACCCACTGGGCCCAGCGTGACACGCACACAGCCTGACTGCCGCAATTTGACTCAATGAGGAGGAGGAGGAGGGGGGATATTTATTTTTAATAAAGCCACACTTATTTTGGGACTGACATTTTACAACATTCCTTTTATTCTCGAATCAATAGCCGGTTAAATATTGATAGAGGGGTGAAGTTGCCTACGCGCCACAGAAGTTCAGTTTGTTTGAATTCTCGCTGGGACGAAGCGGATTTTTTTTTTCAGTTTTATTATGAAACGATGGAGGGAGGTTTTAGAGGGAGACACGTTCTCACACTGAGCTGAGGAGCAGAAGGAGATTTCCTGCCTTTCTCCAGCTTTGAGGCAGTGAAATGGATAAAACACTGCAACCGGCAGCCGTGTGTGTGACACGACGAGAAGTTGAATCTCATTCGGTTTAATTTATGTACAGCATATGTTGTCCTGCCTGTGCATGCTAAGTGTGGTGGTTGTTTTAAACTGCACAAAAAGGTTGCAGTGAGTGTTTAGGGTGAGTTTTTTGGGGTGAGGGAGGGAGGAGCGCTGCCCTGGTGTTGGGTGAATGCAGAGCCGAGGGCGCCAGGCGGATATTCGAGCCCCAGGGGGAGCAAGCGCTCTCCTGTGGGCTGCCCCCCTCCTCCAGGGAGAGGCTGAGGGGATTTGGATCAGGGTCCCACCTGGACCCTGTGGGGCCCTGTGGGGCCCCTTCCTGCAAAGACCCTGGAGAACTGAGAGACGAGAGTCAGGGGTTCACCTACGTGTGTGTGTTTGTTTGTTTGTTTGGCTGAGGAGGTGACATTCAGGGGTTGGTATTTATTTATAAGTTTCTGTGGAGGATTTTGGACCATTAAAACTCAATTTAGGAAACTTTCAAACTTAATTTACTTCAGGATAGAACTAAAAATGTGACAAATACAAACGATCGTGAATGCCGTCGTTCAGCAGAGCTGCCGCTTTAATAGAGCTTGTGTGTTCCTGAGAAGTTAGAGGTTATAAAAGAACGAGAGCCATCTTATACCTGCGAGAAGTTGCACATTAACATGACGTCATCAGTGTGCGCGCAACCTGACGGAGCGTGTTTACACGTCACATTTACGTCCCGCTCCATCACAGTCCAGCAGGTCAGTGAGGTGATGAAACTGTTTCTCCGTCTTTCTGATCATCTGCAGTCCTCACATAAATGAAGCCACATCCAGGAAACCCAAAGATCTTTTTGAAAACACTTCAGTTACAGGTTCAGTCCAGAAGAAGATGTAGGCATCCTGCAGCCTCTGTGTCTCTGTGAGGTTTTTAGAAAAGAAATATCCTCAGTGTCTCCACCGCTGACTGCAGGTCTCTGGTTGTGTTGCAGACTGGCAGAAGACCGAGGCCCAGAAGAGACGGGAGCAGCTGCTGCTGGATGAGCTGGTCATACTGGTCAACAAGCGAGACGCGCTGGTCAGGGACCTGGACGCCCAGGAAAAAGAGTAAGTTACTTAAAAACACTGAACACAAGTATAAAAACACTGAGCTGCACAGCAGGCGCTCCTGTGGTGTCACAGACGTCCCCAAGAAGCTGTGGACGTAGAGAAAGCACGGCGAGCCTGCCCTGCGGCGCACCTGCACGGGTGGAATCCCTTCCAGGGCACCGCAGGCAGGTAAAAGGTCAGAACGTGGCCCCTGGCACCCGGCCACTCCACAGGTGGTGCAGCGGCGTTCACCGTGGCACCAGCTGTTTTACCTGTCTGCCCCTTACCCCAACCCCACCCCGAGACATCTGACCTTTTGACCTTTTGCCATCCGCAGGGCCGAGGAGGAGGACGAGCACCTGGAGAGGACGCTGGAGCAGAACAAAGGCAAGATGGCCAAGAAAGAGGAGAAGTGCGTCCTTCAGTGATTGTCAGCAAACACAACCAACAAATGTAGCCGATAAAAGAAATGTATCACATGATTATTATCGATCATTTTATTTGATAGAGGAGTCGAGACATTTCTGTCAGTTATTGGAATCCCTTTGAGGTTTATGTTCGGGTCAGATTAACCGCAGAGACTCGGCTGAGCGAAGAGGCCCTGCGACACCTTTGCACCAACTTTTTACGGACTCGGACTGTCCCCCTTTATTTTATTTTATTTTTTTAAATTTGAACTCTGCTTTAGTTTCTCGAGAACGGTACCTGTGTAACAAACATGAATACGTGTGAGACGAGGGCAGCGCACAGCCTGTGTGCAGCTCGCTCCGTCTGAATGTGGAGACCAGGCACAGTCTGTGGTGGATTTGAGGTACAGCACAACAATGGGGGAAATTTTACTCTTATTTGTTTTCTTTTCTTTTTCTTTCCCCCCATCATATTCAGAAGATGATGAGGTGGGTTGACTTTTCAGTCAGACTTTTTAAAGAAAAACAAAGAGATAACATCGCTCTTTTCAAGCTACTTCATTACTTGACCGTATCTTTTAATTATCTCACTTTTTACTTGTAAAATATCTTAACTTGGGAAGCATTACTGTTCACAAATCTTGACTTTCCTATTGCTTTTTTATCGTCTTGGCTTGAAAGCAGTTTACCAAAACAAAGAAAGGAAAAAAAAAACAAACACTTGTTGTATATTTTCATCACTGCTCTGACCAACAGCTTCCAAAATCTTTTTTTTCCTCCATCAGGAGTCATGCAGTCAGAAAACAACAGATATATATATATATATTATTTATTGCCATTTGTCCTATAAGCTGCTTGTTAAGTGAATCTACCATCACGTTTCATTTTGCTCAACGACTTTTGGTTTCTATTTATTGTATTCAGAAGAAGAGAAATATGCTTCCATCTCTTAGAGCTCCACATCTTGTGCAGCTGTTCTTTTTACGTGTGAACATTTATCTGATTATTTATTCCAGTGTCATAACCCAAGTCTTCAGTAATAAAGTCTTTATGATTTCATACTCCACAAGACGCTGTGTGGCCTCTTCTTAAAAAAAAAAAAAAACCCAGCCGCTGTGGATTTTTAAATCTTTATTGTTATATTTAGTGTGTTTTTTTTACTCATTTTCTATTTTTCAAAACGCGCACGCACTTTCAAAACTCTGTTCCAAATATTTGTATTTATTTTTTACTCTCAGTTTAAAGAAATATCTCCAATCCTCGATCTGAACTCTGTTTTTCCTCCTCTTTCTGTTTACATAATTTAAAAAGTTATTGAAATGCACGCCTTTGGCTGCAGCCCCGCACATAAGTGGCCCCTATCACCGCCTCCACCGGCGAGCGTTGCGTTTATTATTCGGCGCTCTGTTCAATTCCCCTGCGACCTGTGCGCGTGTTTATAAATTAAAATTGGCGGGTTTTTTCTTTTCTTCTTTGAGGTCGGTGTCGAGCAGGTTCCTCCGAGGAAGATTAGAGAGATCACTTTGTTCCGAGCAGATGTTTTCCCCCCTCTCTCACACCTCTCTCTGGGCCGCTCCTGTGCGCGCTGAGGACGGGCTGCAGAGCTGGAGAGGCTCGGTCACCCGCAGCCACGGATGAGGGGAGGAGGGCGGGCACAACAATTGGTATTAATTTTCAAAGATGTAGAAAAAAAAATCACACCCTTAAATTCTTAAAGTGTCCATTTTAATTTGCACCATTTTACTGAAATGAGCTGTGGAAAATGTTCTTGCAATAAAAGCTCCGGATGAACAAAGTGTCTGCGGTTTAACCCTCCTCTCCGTCCCTGCAGGCAGCCTCCCATCCCCGATTAAAGCAGGAAAATCGGTTGTGACAGCAGACGTCCTCCCCGGCCTTTCTAATACTTTCAAATTAATTTGCTGATTCGTTTCTTCTCTGCTTGGGACCGACTGTACGCGCACATTACGCACTCTGCGTCCCCCGAGGCGCTTTGTTTGACTTTGTATTGCTGCGCGTTTATCGCGGGCGCCTGTGATCTGGAGGAAAAAGAGCAGAGCCTGAACGGTGCTGAGTGTATGTGAGTGTGTGTGAGAGAAAAATCTTTAAAATGATGCACACAACCTGTCGTTTACACTTAACTTATAAATTATTTTACATGCAACATTTTAAAGGCTGTGTCCTTACACAATCATTCATGCGTAAAACTGAACTTTTAAAAGTTTTAACTTCCTCTAAATTACTTCAACTTCACTGAAAACTATTTTAAACCATTTTAAATGAATCACTACATGTTTTTAATTTGGCGTTTTTGCATTTTGTTAAGAATAAAACGGTTGAAACAGACCTGTCCTACCTCCGCAGCATCGCCCGGCTTTCTTTAACGCTCCAGCAGAAGCAGAAGGAGTGAAAATTTATTTGGAGTCGTTTTCCTTTTTTCGCTGAATAAGAGCGAGGCACTGCGTAAAAAAAAGCGGCGGTGGCTCGGCGCTGCTGTGCAGCTGAGGATCCTTCAGCTGAATGGATTATCTCCTGAGCTTTGAAGTCTCCTGGCCTCACCTCACAGGTGCTGAGCGCCGCTCGGCCTCTGCGTTTTTCACTTCCCTCGCCCGCGCCGCCGTCCAAAAAAGCTGCACCTGAGGGAGCCGCGGTCTCTGCGTGCAGCGCCGGGGCTCCTACAACAGTCCGTTTTATGCATCATCGTTTTAATAAGCACCGACAACATCCCCACAGATCCCCGCTTCCAATCCTGCCGGCTGAAGGGACAAAACTTTTCCCCCTCCTCTCCTCACCGCCTAATCCCAGGCTTTACCAGCTCAGCATTAAGAAAATTCAACTGCAATTTGGGATTAGACAAAATACTCTTATTACAAAAGGTTGGTGCAACTTGATAACTTGATACTTGTTCAGGGGTTTATCTCGGGGTCTTACTCACATCGAGAGAGGATGGAAGGGGCAGAGGAAAAAAGCAATGCAGGGGAAATGTCAGAATAAACCGTCTCTTTTGTGTTGTGAGGGCCATATTTGTTGAATGGCCTTTTTGCATAATTTAACGGAGCCTGTGTGTGCATGTGCAGAGGAAAGGAGGGGTGGTGGTATTTCGGTCAGAGCCTTCGCCGGCCCTCTGACAGCTCGGACTTCAGATGTGGTGGAAATAAAAAATGGATAAAAGGTGCGTGAAACCCAAATCAAATACCTCCACTTTAGGCCGCCTCCTCTCTGCGCACACAGCCTCCCTTCAATCAAACGGGCCTGATTTCTCTTTGATTTTGGCCTCTGCGTAAAAACACGGACCTGCACAGGAAGGTGCGTTCAGGTGCGTCTGTAACAAGCATCACTGCAGGCCTACGCACACAACCTACATATTATTTTTTTTGTAATTATTATTATTGTGCTCTGCAGACTTTTGATGCTCAAGTTTCTCTGTCAAAGTGCTCTCATCGATGACTTTAAGTCCCATCGGCCTCCACTTTGATAATACTCCTCTTCCTCACTCACACACACACATAAAATTGTAAGTTCCATCCCTGCTCTCTCTCACCCTCTCCCTCTCTTTTTGAGCATTAGCTCGCTTTCAGCTCGGGCCTCATTTACAAAAGTTTGTGTTTTTGCAGAGAATAAGAAGCAGCATCCCCCCCTCCCCCCCGACACCCGGTACCACTCAGGCCAAATCATAAAGCATACGCAGTGTTTTTCTTTAAGTGCGGAGGGTTAAAAGCGTGTTAAAAACATCAACACAGGATTTGATTCAGTGACCGCAGCTTTCTGCTGCTGATTCTTCTTCTGTGGATTCTTCTTTTTCCTCCGCAGTGAGTTGGAGGTCTATCCCTATTAAACTTTACGTCAACCATCCTCAAATGTAATTCTAAATGGGGATTAAACCTCATTCATATTCATGAGACTGGTGTGTGTGTGTGTGTGTGTGTGTGTGTGTGTGTGTGTGTGTGTGTGTGGGTGTGTAGGTTGGTCCTGCAGGCTGACCAAAGAG